TCGTAAATTAGAAATCGAACATACAACATGAATCAACTTTAAGACAGAACCTAAATTATTGCTGATGTGTTGCTTAAGCGAGAGTATTCGCCCATGGATCTCTCCAAGGTGGAGAAGAAGTGGGATTGGCCCATCATGGTTGTTGTCGCAAAGAGGCTGGACAAAAAAACATGTTTCTTTACTTGTTATGTTTCTAAGTCCTCTTGCAAAGATCCTGGAGTTTTAAAAATTTCAAATCGCGCATATAAAATTTTATTCACGAACCTAAACATTTGACTTTGTTTAGGTTTTGTCAAGATGATGACATTGTGTCTCGAGATATGTATCGGTTAGATAAATCGCTCAAAAAAACTCTTGAATCCAATAAAAAGATCCTTCCTCTTTATAATCCTCTCTTGAGCCTTTCTTTGTATAAACAATGACTAATTTCTTCATCTAATCACAACCATATATATTTCAATAGAAAAAATATACAATTCGATAGAAAAGCCAAAAGAGTCAACATATTTGACTTGCACTATATAATTAATATATATATTACAGAAAAAACTAAAATGTTAGAACCTGAAAATGAAAATATTGCCTTCTTCGAGAGTGTGGCTCCTCAGGTTAAGTTTTGCTTCGCTCTTTATCTCAATTTCTTGGTCCAATTTAAAGTAGGTCGTTTCCACAGGTTTCTTTTGTGTTGTGGTTTTTTTCCGTGAATTTTTCGCCTTTTTTGGCCTTTCGTCGAAGTGGATGCGTAACCTTTAGATTTATGAGGTACAATTGATTCGCAATAGGAGGTTGTTTGGTTTGTGTTGTGGTTGCGTTGATATTAGATTTGATTGTTTTGCTTTTAGCCTTGTTTCGTTTCTTTATTTGCAGTGATAGACCGAGTGCTTTGTAACTATCTTTTCTTCCTCGCCTTTTGGCTTATTAATATATATGCACAGATGACCAAAAAACCTTGAAAATGAAGCAAGTAAAAAAAATAAAAGTACAAAAGATAAACAGTTGCGGCAAGAAAAAATTGACATAGTAAATTTTTTTTCTTAAAAGTCGATATATTCTTTACTATACATGTTCACGTAATTTCTTAGTGGTTGTCACACTGATTATGTTGTTGTTAGTGTTTGGCACGGTGGTAAAGCTAAACAAGAAAAAGTATACAGTCGAGAACTTGCAAAATCAATCATCCTCATATAATCAGTTATAAAAACTTTGTATTGAAAATGAAATAAATTAAATATGAAGATTTTTAGTGAAAGTACTTGTTTTCTTACCTTTTGCCAAATTTCTACTTATGTTTTACTTACTTTTTGCTTAATTTGTGCTTATGTTTTGTTTGCTTAATTATTAGTTATTTTCTGCCAATATTTTTGTTTGATGAGTCATTTGATGTTTGTTTACTTGTCATTGATGTTTCCCCATTTGAGGTATAACCTCACAAAACCCGTAGTTTTAACATTTATTGAGTTTTGTGATGCTTGTTTTTGTCATAATTTGTCATGACATACATACATCACCCTAGCTCGGTCATGGCTTGTTCAGTAGCCATAAGTGAATAGTCTCTTCGTTGAGCTGCGAGTTGGTAGATTTAGGAGTTTTAGAGAGTGGCTAACATCGTTGCGGATCGAGAATGAAGTGTTCTCAAGCTTAGGTTGAGCTTAAAGCTCGGTCCTTGAATCCTTTCCCAGATCGTGTTAATAGGCGTTCTCCTGCCCGAAAGGTGTTTGTGGGAATGCCTGAACGACCTTTTGTTTGGCTTATTGACCCTCGATCATGAAAGTGCTATTGAGATGCTAAGTGAGCTTATTGGGGCTTGACCGTTTATATCTAACAGCGAAAGTTAGTTAGATGCTCGTACTCAACAAAGTGATTAGTGCCACGAAAGTGGACTGGTTTGATTTCATGTCCCATGCTTGTAAACTGAACCTTCATCACAAAGCTCACGACTTTATTAGCCATGATCTACTGCCCCCTTTATCAGTTGCCATCCCATAACTCAATGCTTTCACCATCCTGCATTCACATCCGTTTCTTGCTATGTTCACTTTATATTTTAGTGCAATATCCGTTTAGTTTTGCTCACACAACAAAACCCTTCATATGTGCTTTAACTTAACGAGATTTCTCTAAGTCCTAGTCTTCCTTGTGTTCGAACCGTACGTTTGCTACAATTGAATAATGAGTTAGGTTGTTAGCTTGCTAGGTTTTATTTGAATGAAAACCCCTTCTCATCAGTACCATAGAGCTTTTTTCAAAGCCTCTATAGCGGTCGTATCGAGTAGTCCTTCCACCCGAGCCAAGACATCAATATGGTCAAAAACCAACTTTCCAAAGTTGTTTTAGTAAACTTCCCTAAAATAAATAGAGAACAAACATGTTCTCGAAAGACTCTTATACTAAAAATCCCCTTCAACATATACTGCTACGTTCTTGGGATTCATATATTTTGTAACTACAAAAAAAAAAGATTCACATTTTATCTTTAAATAAAATTACACGTTTATTAAACATTTTAAATTTGTAAACACGTGGTGTTTTGGATTGTAAACCATCTTTTGGCGCATTCTTTGTGTGCAAGGATAAAAACGCAACCCAGGTGAATAAGCTCTTCGTCATCAAGGCAGACCATGCGACGTGGTGGGCTATGAATGTCCACCACGGTCTCCTCGAAATCATCGGATACCACTTCTTCAATCGAATCCATCCTTTTTTTTTAAGTGTTAAAAAGTTATAATGTTAATAAATATTTAATATATAAAGCTGTATTTATATTAAATTAATTTTAGTTATTTTATGACATATTAGATTCATTTTTAAAATGTTATTCAGTAAAAAAAGTTATATCATATGGCCCAAACCAAAATCTAATTAAAAAGATCATTTAGGTGAATATCAATTTATAACTTAGAATGTAAAAAATGTAGACACATTCTATATTATTTAGGTTGTATAGCTAAGATTAAATAATTTTGGACGAAATTGCCTTTCTAACACACCATAAAACAAAGTGTACGACCTGTCATAAAGTAGATATCACCTGACAATTTTTTAATTATTTTCTTTTTCAACAATTTGTTTTCCCATTTGATATTCACATTCATATTGAGTATTGTTAGAGAACTGAATCATCTCGTAATCTATATGTAGAAGAAAAAAAGTCAATATATGTTAGAATTTGAAATTTTAG